CAGAATAATTCTCATGCGAATTATCCAAAACAAATACACACGCGTGAATCGCATAGTGTGCCACGTGCATAATGCATACATGATGAGCGGCAGAAGGTCAACCGGAGGTCCGCTTGAAGTTGGACGAAGAGAGACGCCTCTTGTCGCACATCGACATACACGAGGCTAAATCTGGTGCAAGAAAGCAACAGTTTCCGTTAGATTATATTCTATGACCAAAAATTCATGAGAGGTAAATTCCCGTCTCCTTCGTTTGACGTCCGTTTACGTATTAAAACTATGCAAGCCCCTGAAAAAGCTTCAATTGATCGAGCCTTATTAAGAAATTAATTGAAACTATAAATAAGATAAATTAACATGCATACTTATAAGCTAACGAAAATCACGATGGATTCGGAGTTAAGGTACTCGAACTTTTCTGAATCGCCTAAAACCCGACTCGAACTCGATGAGTAAACCTCGAAAAATTAATACGTACTCGCACAATCCTAATAGATATACGAATCGTAATTAATACATGTATACGCGTTATATTGGTGAATCGTGTTTACAATACAAAGTGCATGGGAAACGACGTAGAACTATCCGAATCACGTGTACTCTGTGAACCTATAAATCGTTACAACAAGATTCCCCAATATAATCTCGTAGCTAACAGTACCTATAAGGGTTTTCCTCGATTGCATCGTCGTCACCGTCGTCGAAAACGGCGACAATTGGCTCCGGTTTTAGCAGTGCAGCAGCAGCAGCAGCTCCGAGAGCGAGTTGAACGAGAAAATCTTCCGCTTTGCGACAGCAGCCGAAAGAGCGAGAGCTTGCAAGCTCGAGGAGACACAAGGAGAGAAAGGGAAAGAGAAATTATCTTATATACACCCCATAAGGAAGCAGCCTGCAGATGCAAGATAAGATAGTAACGACTATTCAGCTTATAACGCTGCATTTTACAGCTAAGTACTAGCCTGATAACAGCTGCACGCAGCTAGTATAGTGCAGTGTCTAGCACACAGCACATAGGCAATTTAGCCGCTCAATAAAATTGTCGGATCGTCGCTGCTGCGATCACATTTATATATATTCTATACATATGAGCTAGGTACGTGCGCGCGCGATTACTCAATTTTCAGTGTATTAGCCTATCGACGATAGATTACATTCCCGTTCGCACGCGCCAAAAGAGAGTTTTCAATTTTAGCTCGAGTGCGTATATAGGTATAGCATGCACGGGATGAGAGTGCGTCGACACACGACTGGAAAAAGAATGACTAAAACGCATTAGAGGCGCGTATGCGAATCTATCCGGCTGACGCGAGTATATATATGCGGGGCATTAGATAAAATGCGCACAAATATTAACAATTATATAGTTAGGCGGCTGGCTATACTGTGTGTACCCCATCCCCGAGTGAGCGTATTGCTTAGACTCGTAATATTCTAACCAAATAAAATTTTTATTTATCCATTCCCTCTAGCTCGCTTTGATCTTGGTAGCGCACTGCACCGGCAGCGGCACTGAATTTTCTGGTACGCCTAATACGTATATACACGGACTGCGTGTATAATGGACTTGTTTTGTACAAATATGAGAGAGAGAGAAGCGTTTTTCCAACGGCTCCACCGTACTGTACACACGCCATGTACGCACACACGGCGAAAACGAACTAAGCGCCTTTTACTCGCCTCTGAAAAAGCTTTACCCAGTGTCACCCGCTGCAGCAGCACGGGGTACTAGCGCGCGACGACTACTACTACGACGACGTTGCGACTATATACGACCTTGCTACGGCCTTTGTTTTACTAATTCATTGAATAAACTTGGTATTTTCGAGCTCGACATTTTTTGGCCAAATATATTTATGTGTGCGTACGCAAGCGTCCCGAAAATCCTTTTGCACATACACGCGCGGGCTCTCGCATTCGTTCTGCGTACGGTTTCTTTGTGGCTGACCCGAGTGCGTTTTTAAAAACAGCCTTAATTACTTCTTGAGGTTACTTAAAAAAAAATAGAAAAAAACGAAGAAGACTTTGGAACTCGATAAACATTTTTCTCGACGTAATAGTATTTATGCAAATACGAACTGTGCGCGTGCCGCCAACTGGGAGAGAATACAATTTATTCAGCATGAAAATTCCTCGCTGCAAAAAAGCCGGCCATTCTGCACTCGTTGAGATTATATTTGCCCAGCCCTTTGTAAGGCTACTACTCGCGTGTAATGGCTTTAGTCGGCCGATGAGCGTGTGTACGCGAAAATTCGCCGGGCTGGCTACAAAATTTGTCTACACACATCGCTCTTGATTAATATAGGAGAGGAAGCCCCGAGGATATAGGTTTAACGCGTGCGCACAGTGTGTTATACGTACAAGCCAACGTAGGATACTAGAAGCCGGCTCCAGCTCGGTCCTTTCGATCCGCACGCACGGCAGATATGCAAATTATAATATGCACGCGGATGAGCTTCGTGAAATGATAATTTCGTTGTTACGACCGCTACGTGTTACGGTTAAATGTTCTTCGCACACGAGTTTGAATGACTATCGCGCGCGATGTAGGCAATCGCAGCGAGAAACGATTTTCGAGGTTGTTTCGGCCGATGTTCTACTGTGCTTTTCTTCGTCGCGTCGCGCCAGGCGCTATTTTGGAGAAAAATTCCTCCGAGATAACAGCGTATAACCGTCAGGTGAGAGTGCCGCTATGAATAATTACATACCGAAAAAAATTAAATGACATTTTCTTTTTCTTGTACTTTTTCGAGAAAACTTCCTGTAGGAAAGTTGATAACTCGCTCGTGTATAAATCTCGTGCTTCCATAACGTCAATTTTTTTCTCTTGTTCATTTTTTGCAAGTTAACCGGGGCAACTGGGGCACGTTCATTTTTTCATCGAGTTTTTTCATCGTCTTACAACTTGTACCATCACATTGTAAATTTGAATCAAGGCATGCTTAATCATTACAGAAATAATATATGTAAATTTCATTTGCATAAAAAAAACTCAAAATTTGCCTGAAATTTTTAATGAAATGGTCGTACGAACCTCTCATTATCTTTCTTGCTTTACAATATGTCAGGAGGAAAACGTAAGAATCACTCTCATCAACTTTTAATGCATCTGAAATTACAAGATGTAAAAAAGATACCACGTAACTTGTTAAAATAAATATTCAGTACAAATCTTGAAAAATTTATGTTTTAAAAATTTCTCATTTACTCTAGCTTCTCGATGATCGTTTGAATGATCGTAACGAAACGAACGAAAAAATGTAAAAAATATATTAATCGTTCATTTGGAGATTACTTATCCACACAATGGTTATCGGCGAGTTGAATTGCGACATCTGTTTGTTTCCTGCATGACCCTAAAATTTGACATTATTTTCACCCTGAACTGCAGTAAAAACCCGATCAGTGACCCTCTCAGTCACCACCAGAGTATAGATCGATGAAATCACTTTCACGACCATCAGCCACTCGTCAACGCAGGAAATAATTTTTTTTTTTAGAAAAATAATTGACTTATCGTTGCAGGAAGAGGTGTCGGGCGATATACTAGATCGATTAAACCAGCAGGGCGGGGTCGTTCTTTCAATCCCAGTGGTATTTCGTGCACCATTTCGAACGGCGTTAAATAATGTATACTCGGCGAAGCATTGCCGACGTAAATGACGTTTCTCGTATCGGCTCGACCAAACACAAACCGCGAGAATCAATCGATGCCGAAGTTTGCCGTATACGATCAAACGGTCCATCGAAATTCCATTATCTTTCTAATAGCCTCTGCACGCACTCGTTTTTTTTCTTTTCTCTTTTTGCCCCCTTAATCTTCGGCGTCAAGGGCTGGTAAGAAAACTAAACCCTCTGTCTAAAAAGTCTATCAAAGCGAAAAAATCGATCCTCGAGCCTGAAGCCCCGTTAAGTTTCTCTCGAATCATTAGCTTTCACGCTTTTCCAGTGGAATCTAAAGGGGAAATAGGAGGAGCGGAATCATCAGCGCTTGTTGAAAATTTTCAATTTTTTTTCTCGACCTTTTATAAATTTGGTGTTGTACGGTGGTTACGATTCCTCAGAGAATCATTTCATTGATTATAAAATGAGACAAATTGAAAATGGCGATAGGGGCTAATTTTGATTACTTTGTCCATCGTGTCAATTAATTGATTTTTCAATCTGAAGAAGGTATTTTCAGCAGGCTGAATTATGTTGCGACATTTGAAACGCGTAAATGCTCAAAAGCTTTCTACATTTAATATGGTGTTGTAATGCAAAATGTGTATCGTCGTTAAATTAACAAATTTCAACATTCCCATCGCTTGCAGCTCTTACTCATATTAAATATGCATTTTGTATCAATAAAATTGAAAAATAAATGAGATGCGAAAGATTATAATTATACACAAATGGATCTTTGCGTTTATCTGATTTATTTGGAATGATCACCATACTGTAGTGAAATACGTACATTTTATTAGATTAGACAAATAAAAGTTGAGCTTTTTGCATAGCTTTTATGTGGACATTTTTTTTTGCTAAAAAAGTCAAACGGATTAATCATGGAATGATGCAATAGTTATAGGATACTAGACAAATAAAAAATTATTATATACATAAAGTTTTCAATAATATTTTTACTTTAAAATGATTAAAATGTATCGATTTGTTGATCAAAATTAGCATAACCTATAAAATATGATTTGTATATTTAAAAATTAGTAAAATCTTATAATCGCACTATGTGAATCAAGTGTGTTTGAAAAGTGCTTTTGATAATTGTGACACTCAAAAACTCAGTACCTAGCTATTGGGCGCGAAAGTTTCTTTTTTTATGCAACTGGATCTAGATGTACTCCGTTGTAATTTACGAGCTGTCAAATTTCTTCTGTTTTTCATCTAGTGCTCGTTGAATCGTTTTTTTCAATTGCTAAAGACTTTTTTCTGTAAAGTAAATCGAATCACTTACATGGAAAATATTATTAAGAAACAAAACTTACTCACTCTTTACATACGGCATCAAAAATATCTTTAGGATAAGTTTTTGGGGGAGCACTAGAAGCTTTATCTTTTAGAGCCACTCGTAATAAGCGCTTTGCCAAAGATTGATGTGTTGATTTATAGCAGCTATGTTGTCCGACTATTTTGATAGTCTTTGGGTCATGCGAAGCATTGATCAGTAGCTTGACAGAACATTTCTTCTTGATGCAGCCGTATCTTTCAAAAAAATTGAATTGTTAGTCTTAAAATTATCTTCAAACAGTAATGCACGATTTGCTTTGTTTATAACGGATGCGATAGAATTTTGAGTTTACTCTACTTTTATATCAAAATTTGAAATGCTCACCTCGTTTTTTCGGGATTCTTGACTCCATAATTATATCCATCAAAATGCAAACCACGCAATACTGGATCGTCAGAAAAAATCGCCATAATGAGGCATCAATTGAACATAAAAAATTGTTCTTTGGTTATAAACTAACTAATCTAACAGAACGGAATGCCAAGTTTATGCGACTCCTAGACATTCATTTATTTCTCAAATAATCGCATCTTACAACGTTTTTGTTCTAAACGGTCGTTGGGATGGATTTCATCGCTTTTATTAAATTTAAATTTTGTGATTTCTTTCATTCATGATAATATAAATATGATTTTGAACATAATTATTTTCATAATTGAAAAAACAAAAGCTGAGTTTGTTTCAATTAAATAACTCAATCTATTGCGTGAGTTATAATATAAACATCAATTTGTGACTTACATGTGTATTGTGTTATACTATAGACACGTGCTTATGAGAAGTATTCAAGTGTAAATTAACCGAACTAATAGCGTTTTCGCTACATTACGTACTAAATAAATAAACATAGGCACAACATCAAAATAACGTATTACAAAATTAACGATATTCTTACCTTATTGTTGAATTAGTATTGAAGGCTATAGTCGTTCAATTGAAGTTGAGTCGGCATTAACTAATTGCGAGTGCAATACTTATTCTCTTCCTTTTCAGTCTGGTAAGCAAATTAATAATATTATCCGTGTGCACAGATGAACTTATAATCAATTAAAACGATCTGCATAATTCTGATAATTATTTTGTGTATTCAAGCGTAAAAGATAAAATATGCTAAAAGTTATAGTCGAGTTTCATCGTAAAATTTATGTTACAGCTAAACATACAAAATACTTTTCAACTCGGTTATTTGCTGCAGAATTAGTTTCATAGCTGGGAATACTAAAACCGTATTCGAATTATTTGACGTAGCTCTACCTCGTTGCCAAATCCACAATGGGAAAATTCTTCTTCTTATTGTGCCTGTTGGCGGTTCAAATTTATCTTGACTCGGCTACGCCTTATCGTGGATCCTTGAAAAAAATTAGCGTTGTAAGTTTTTGATTGTTTCAGCTAGAGAATTTTTTTTAATCATTCAATGACAATTTTATTCGATTGTTCAGGTGTTCAGGCACGGTGACCGTTTGCCAGAACCCCCACCGCTGGGATACTATCCGAATGATCCGTATCTAAATACTAGTTTTTATCCATTGCACGCTGGAGATTTAACCAATGTGAGTCAATAATTTAAAAATTAACGTTTACACAAATTAATACATGTTTTTGTATACTCGTGTATAGAGTGGAAAAAGACGTGAATTTGAAATCGGAAGGTCTTTGAGAAAGAGGTACAATGAATTTTTGGGACCTTATTATGATCCAACCGAATTATCCGCGACAAGTACCGATTTCACAAGAACCAAAATGAGCTTGCTAATGGTTTTAGCCGGTTTATACCCACCGAAAGACAAACAAGTTTGGATAGACGGGATAGACTGGCAACCAATTCCATTTTTCACCATGCCACATGAAGTCAATGCTTTTCTGCGACCTACAGATTGTCTTGCGTAATCTTCATTTTTTTCATTATTCGAATTTTCTTCGGCTTATTTTTCACGATTTATCATAATTCAAGTTATCAAAAAGAACGCGCTCGCGTCCAGCAGTCGGCCGAATACCAGAAAGACCTTCTTCAATTCGGAGACTTGATGAAAAACTTGACGGTTTTGATGGGACGCGAGGTCAACGACACCAAGGCGATTTTCCATCTTTTCCACACGCTGATGGCCGAGCGCGAGATGGGTCTCGAATTACCCGAGTGGACGAAAATCTACTTCCCAAATGGCCCGGTTATCGGTGCCACAGTTTTTCACTACAGAGCCGAAAGCTATAGCCCGCTGATGAAGAAATTACACGGAGGTAACGATAAAGACTAAGATTTGTCATTTCCAACCCGTGCGTTTGATTAAATCTTGGTGCGCTCATCTCGTTGATCGCAATAGGTACGTTTTTGAGGAAAATGCTCAATGATCTTTCGATCGACGATATCAAAAAGACTCCGAAGATTCACCTCTATAGCGCGCACGAAAACAATCTGGCGGGAATTTTGATAGCCATGGATTCGTGGTGGAACTTTATACCGGAATACTCGAGTGCCATTGTTTTCGAGCTCCACGAAGTAGAATCCCAATATTATATCCAGGTAAATACGATAAATCGATAAAGATTCGAATCAATTTTTAAATCAACCTACGATATTCAGGTGGTATATTACTACGGAATCCCCACGGAATTCGAGGAGTTGGTTATTCCTGGATGCGATCAACCCATGTGTCCGATAGAAGAATTCCTCGACCTCATGGCAGACGTCATGCCCGATGACATACTGGAGGCTTGTCTCGGAAAACCCGAGGAATCGCTTTTTATTCCCAAAGACGGAGACCTGCACAAATGGTTCTATTCCAAAATGAGGAAATGGTTCAATTTGTAAAACGCTTGTTATTTGTTTTCGATATTTTTAAACATTGTTAATGTATCAAAGTTGATGTTAAAATTAATTCAATAGTAATAACTCAAACGAAGCGTGAAAAATTATTACGTCCCAGCCTCCCGTCATTGACAACCCTTTCAGCTCCATAATTCAACGCGGAATTACACACGTAGCTCCAACCGATCGAAGACAGAAGCTGGCCTAATTCGCGGCGCGGTGGTCGTTATCGAAAATCACGCTGCTGCTGCATCGAGGCAAATTGGTCGGACGATAAAACGCACACTACTCGTCGGTGTCTGGCGCAGCAGCAGCAGCAGCAGCAGCAGCAGCAGCTTCGAATGATTAGCGATGCTCGCGCGTGTAGTTGATCTATCACGGGCATTATTAATTACATCCCTCTTGCCATTTGTAATTTAAATAATTCAGTAGCAATTAACATACTAGATAAACTGCGACGTTTTATATGTAATGCGCCGTGTGGCGGCGGCAGCGCATAGTGCACGTTGGTAATTTCATCGGGTGCTGCTCTATATGTGTATATAAGTATATAGGAAGAAATGAAAATCCGCGGCCTAGCTCGAGCGATGAATTAAAAATGCCGTGCGCTGCTCCTCAGCGCCTGAATATCCCCTCGTTGACTAAACTCTCATCATTTCTTCAACGAGAGGTGAAGGCAGAGGCAGAGCTAAGCCGCGCGAATCCGTATGTATATAAGGATGTGCTTCCGCTAAAATATATACATAGGTATATACCGCGTAGTACTGCGAGTTACAGCTCCGCTCGCGTATCCCCAGAAGACCTCTCCGTGTATATATAGCCGTGCTGCCGCTGCTCGCGCGAGTGGAGCTACTTTGGCAGCAGGCATGCAGGCAGATATGGTGGGAAGCTTTAAGATCTCCGGATTTAATAGGCGTGTATCGGTAAAGATACCGGGGAAATTGATTACCGGCTTGCACTGGCCCACCCGCCGCCCGCTAGCTTGCCTCCTTCTCCTCTTACTCCTCCTCGCCCTCATCCTCTATATACCCCCTTGGTGCGCGAGCAAAATTTTCTATCTCGCGTTTGTGTCGAACTTTCCAATAGCTCGTACATTTATCCTCGCTCGGTAGCAGATCCTTGCACACAAGCGTACACACACGTGCTTACGTACGATAGGACTATATTCTATAAAGCTGGAACTTTGTTTGTATACACACACACACATACGTTTATCCGTATATAAGCTCGGCGGTGCACGTGTGTACATAAGTATACGCACTCCTCTGCGTACGCGTTGAGCGAGCTACTTCCGCGATAAACTTTAAATGTATTACGATAATGTGAATACTCGTGCCGACGCTGATGGGGGTAACCCTTTTCCGATAAAGTATATAACGCGAAGCGAAGAATCATATAAAACTTTCAGGCTTGCGCAACTTCGTTTATAAGCCGACTTGCGCGTTAAATGTATACTCGTGCGTGAGTGTGTATCTTTGAATTATCGATTTTTCATTACTTTAAGGACTAGCAATTATGTTGTAATGAAAATATTTTAAAACTCGAGATAAAAATGAACAACATCTTGTTTCTACAATGAATCCTTACAGTATAATTCGTTTACACGATTCGCAATCACATTAACTAAAATCTAACTAGTCGTGTTTACCGTCGTCTCCCTGCTCTTGCAGTAATGTAAATTCAGCAAATTGACAAGCTCTTCGTGTGTATATTTCCATATGAGCCAATTTTCTAAGTATATAGCGTATACTTACACTCGAAAAGCCCGCACGTATATAGTATTCACGCGCACACTCGCAGTGTGAAGTTGCAGCCGTATATACTCGAGTTCTCAGCGCGAGTGCAAATTCCTTTGAAGATCCTGTACCCCTGCTGCGCCGTTACCTGAATCTAATCTAAAAGGCATTCTTTCGATCGCGGGGCGCAGCAACAAGCCGCGGCGTCTACGCGTAGACGCGGTATACCGTATAAGGAGGCGCATAAACGCGCCGCCGACGCCGCGAGTGCTGGAGCTTTCTCGAGGTGCGTTATTAGATTTGCTCTCCTCGAGTATTTATGCACGCGCGTGTGGGTAGGGGTGCTGGTGGTGGTACTGTATACAGCGACTGTAGTCACGGCGCATACGGAACTACGCGTATACATATACGCGTATACATAGACACGCTCGCGGAGCTTAAATTTGATGCAAACCACACATACACAAGCTGACAAACACCACCTCTCCGTATAGCCGCCGCCGCCGCCGCCGCTGCTCAGCCTTTGTGTGGGGATAATAATGCTAAAGATGAAATCTGGGCCGTGTCTGCAGGTATATACACGCGTTCGCGTGCGGTATATGTGTAGCCTTGCGCGGCGCGATTGCTCCTGTACTGAAACCAAAGTCAAAATACGCCAGCGTTTGACGTGTTTCGCTCTCGCCGCTGCACTCGATTCTTGGCCGAATTATACACTCGTGAAATTTCATTGTTAATTTAAACGTGTTAAATATATTTCTCATTTTGAAATCGATGTTGGCTGCGGGCATGAGCTCTTTGAATTTTAATCTATGATCGGTACAGTATATAATATTAATTTGTGTTAACGGGCGTATATATGAATAAGCGACTTAGGATTATCATTCGGCGCTATTCGTAAAATCAAAAATAAGCTTTCATGTTCAAGTTGTAATGCGCCGAGTTACGGTTTCGATGTAGGATTAATATAGGAAAATTAATTTTTAGTTATTCTAGGGTGTGTCTGCGCCATATACATTTACATAGGTGTCACGCAACACTTATACAATACAGTTTCTAATTCTATGGCAAAGATTTTTTCTCAAAAATAATCATAATTATGCTTAAGAAATCATAATTAAGGCCAGCTTCTATTACTAGATGGCGAGTATCTCTGTATCTGTAAATCAACAAGTGACAAAGTGAAGACAGGATTATATAAGTCAGGGTTGATATTTGGTCGATTCAGTGTTATTCATGATGGTGTATTGTTCATAGCAGAATTGTTAATTATTTCAAGGGTTGTGCGTGCAGACGTGTTTGCATATACGTAATCAAATCGACTTGCGACCCCTCATTCAAAAAATTCATCATTTTCAGTCAATCACGGGACTTTCAGTAAAAGAGGAAGCAAAAATGGTAGCATATCGTGTTCAGAATCACCGATCGCTCTTTTTTACGGGTTTACTCATAATATCCAATGCTACAGTACAGGTTTCACTTAAAAAATAAAAATTGTCGCACGAATCGCGAATACAGGCGTTCGTGATGTAGAGCTGAGATCCTAGGCACGCGTGAGCGGCGCATGAATAATCCAATTACGCGGAAAGCGCAGGGCCAAATCCGCGTGCTCGATCGTCGTTGTGTCCCCGGGATCGCTGTAACGAGCTTTCGCCCTCTATAGTTCTCTCATTTATTTCCCATGGCATCCATACTACTTTGGATACGTGTATATGGAGGACTGGCACGCAGCGATCGTATATTATTGTAGGCCAAGTTGGCTCGAGGTGCAAAATCTAATGGCCGATACATACACCGCGTGTCCACACTCTTATACTCGCGCGTACTTTTGTCATCCGTATATCTCGTCCGCAAGCGTGCGATAGCGTGCGAGCAGCGATAGTGGACTCAAAATAGATCAGCGTAGACACGATCGCGAAATTTAAGAGATGTGGATCAGTAGCTGCGATCGTATACAGGCAGCTGTTATATGCAAACATCCCGAGGAGGGAGGAAGAGGGACAAAGCGGAGGGAGCCGGTCATTTTGACTTTAGCTTAAAATTTTTTCCGAGTGCGCCGTATATACGCATGCGAGTTTGTTGATGGAAATTTTTTTCATTCTCCCCCACGTGATCACGCGCGGCTTCGCTTCCTGGCGTCGAGGCTGCATTGAGATATTTTGAAAGAAATTTCGGCCTATATGCAACCAAAAATACATTGGGAGTTTTGGCTTATTGATATTTTTCATTTCTATCAAAATTGTACGTCATATTGGACTCGCTCGTGCCGGAGTGAACTTTTTCAGTGTAGCATTCGCGCAAGCTCGCGTACAACCGTGCATTGGTTTTCAAATTGGATTTTCGAAAAAGCAGTACGGCGTGTACGTATATAGCGATAGCTCGATCTGCAGATCACGCGCATGTACAATTCCTCGAGGGCGTCTCATTCCCAGTAAGTACAAGGGAAATCTCGTTACTCTCAAGATAGTTCTTTGAGAGGTGAAATAATTCCACTTGCTGTTTGAACTCCGAATTCAACTCCAAATAGTTGTTTCGCACAATCGTCATTGAATACTAGTGTAAAATACTAGAACGATATCCGAGAATAATGTTAAAAATTGAAGTAGGTAGCACGAAAGAAAAAAAATGTCCACGAAAGCTCTCCAAATACGGGAACGAGTTTGTCAAATTTTTTCGATCTATACATAAGCACCGCGCGAGCTCGCTATATAGTTCTATAAGCACGTGTATAGCATGTGTGTGCGTGTGTGGGTGTACATACCGTTAAAGTCGCTAACAAGATCTCTTTGATCAGTCTCTCGCTTCGTCGTGTTTCTGGTGTACGCGTCGACGCACTCGCACACGCACACACACCCAAACTCGGCAGCTACATACAAATGTAATTCAGGTCTTTCCTCCTCGCTAGTCAAGCCGATCGATCAGCCGATTTACATATCTATAACTACCCCCTTCGGATCTTGTTAAAGCTCGGAGCTGCTGTAGCTGCTTTTATGCCCGCATATATAGAGTGCGTAGGCGCGCTTTTTTTCATTACAAGTGCTGCTGCTACTACTGCTGCTATATACTACTACTTCTTTGCTTTCGCAGGCGCGAACTTTCCGCGTGTGCGCGCGAGTTTGGATATATATAGCTTCGTTAAGAAAATCTGCTTGTGTGCGCGCGTGTGTATGCGAGCGAGTTTATGTGCTGCTATACCTGCTGCAAGCTCAAACGCGTCGCAGCGTGACTTGTCGGCATGATCGAAGAACGATGCCTATAGATCGTATTTCATATATATCTATACGTTATACGACGATTGATAAAGATAAAAAAAAAGCTGTCGAGAGTTGAATCTGCGCTTAAATCGAGAAATGCGCGCGTG